TGTTCATAGTTTTTTTTTAAACTATAGTCCGGCCCTCCAACGGTCTGAGGGACAGTGAACTGGCCCCCTGTTTAAAAAGTTTGAGGACCCCTGGGTAAAAGTCTGAGCTTAAATCTCAACTTACTTTGTCCTGCAGGTTGCTGACGATGGTTACGGCGTGTCCTACATTCTGGTGGGAGAGAACCTCATCAATTTCCACATATCCTCCAAGTTCTCCTGCCCTGACACGGTACAGACCAAAGCCCGCCCCCCTCCTTGAAAGATGGGGTATTTTTGTGGTGGTTGTTGCTTTATTTTTTGAATATATATACATATTTTATAAATTGATTTCAGAGAGGAAGGGAGAGGGAGACAGAGATAGAAACATCAATGATGCAAGAGAATCGTTGATCGGCCGTCTCCTGCAGGTCCCCCACTGGGGATCAAGCCTGAACCCAGGTACATGCCCTTGACCGGAATCGAACCTGGGACCTTTCAGTCCGCAGGCCGACGCTCTATCCACTGAGCCAAACCAGTTTCGGCTAGAAATGATGAGAGAGAATCGTTGATCGGCTGCCTCCTTCACGCCCCACACTGGGGATCGAGCCCACAACCCAGGCACGTGCCCTTGACCGGAACTGAACCTGGGACCCTTCAGTCCGCAGGCCAATGCACTATCCACTGAGTCAAACCAGCTAGGGCTGCTTTTTTAAATAATTTTTTTTATTGATTTCCAAGAGGAAAGGAGAAGGAGAAAGAGATGGAAACATCAATGATGAGAGAGAATCAGTGATCGGTGGCCTCTTGCACGGCCCTTCCTGGGGATCAAGCCCACAACCTGGGCATATGCCCGGACAGGAATCAAACCGTGGCCTCCTGGCTCATAGGTCGGTGCTCAACCACTGAGCCACACCAGCTGGGCTCAAATCATGTCCTTAATTTGACAGAAATTCTCAATTTATGTACTTTTACTTGGTTTGGAGCTTTTCAAATTAGTGAATTTTGAAGTTCTCTTACCTTTGTTTTTTAAAGAAATGATCTTTTTGAGTAAATGTTTATGTTTGTAGCAATGGTTTTAAATGTTAGTGTTGGAGAGCTTGTATAATGTTCAGACCCTGCCACACTGGATGGTTAACGTGCGCACACGCAGAGACACACGTGACAAGCAGGGGTCTTTGCGGTTGCGTGAATGGAACACGCCCCCTCCCACACCCCACACCCCCGTCGTGGATGGCACATTAATCCTCATTTATATCCTCTCCTGTCCGCATTACGTCGCCTGGCAAGCCAGGCCCAGAGGAGACTGGAGCTCATGTACGTCTTGTACTTTACATGGAATTTAATGCCCTGACAGGGACCACTTCGGGTCCGACACACACCCACGCGCACGTACAGCCTGTGACCGCTGGGACCCTCACCTGTCTCCAGGCGTGTCCCTGGGGGTTACGGGTGAAGTCAGGCTTAGGGGCCCAGCAGAAAAGAAACAGTCGCTCTTCCCGGAGTCGGGTTACGGGTTATGTGGGGAGAGGTTGGAAAAGGGGGAATGGCCGCGTGGTCACGTGTGTTTATGTGGTGTGTTTTGTTTGTTTGTTTTCAAACGAAAGGATTCTCATCGCTTCGGAAAACACCTGAGACAAGCCATGACCGACATCATCGCTCTCTTTGGGTTCAGCTCCAACTCCAGGAAGTAACTCCCAGGACGGCTGCAGGAAGGACAACGGAACTCTTCCGACAAAAACCAAATGAAAAATAGCTGCGACTCCTGATCCTAGTTCAGGATGGAAAATTGCTCTAAAAGACTCACAACTGTTCTTGCCGTCCAGGGTTTGGTGTTTTCTTGTTTTCCCAGAACAGCGGGCTCCACCCCGTGAAGTGTAGCCCTACTTCTTTCAGGCAGGTTCCCAACGTGGGGGGCACTTGAGGAAGCGCCCCGAAACTCTTCACATCAGCTCGCGCTTACTGGGGGACGGAAACGCCACGGGGGTTGTGACCTCACACGTGTTGAAAATGGGGGATGGCCA